TACATTTCCCAGGTTTTCTCTCCTTTCACCATCTCTCAACTTTAGCAGACTCAAGGAAAGTCAGGATCACTCTTATCTGTGCCCACCCCTCATGGCCAGACCCTGCGCTGACACTGTCATCATTCAGAAAGCCGGGTGCCAGCTTTGCTCTATCTAGATCCCTTTGTACCTGGGGAGGGCTCAGGTAAGCAGCTTGATAAGGTTTTCAGGATGTCAGATAAGCACCTCCTTAAGATAACTGCCCACCATCACATATTTGGGTCTTTCTCTGTTGGTATCTTTTATTTTTATTATTTTCTTTAGACATTTGATTTAATTGATGGCTTCTTTTAAGATTCAAATATCCCTAGGAAGGACATTACAGCTCATATATTGGTTTCATTATTTTCCACCCCGCACAGCTATAGACTGTAAATCATGTTAATATCTCATAACAGACTCTGGCAGTGAGAAGAAGTGAGAGAGACTAGGGGAAATTGCTCTTTGGGGGTCACTGCCTTAATATGAATATATGTTTGATTGAATTCAAACATTTTCAAGTACGCTAGGTGCCACAAGTTTGCTAAGGGTTACAGGCTTTAGGGGAGCACATTAAGAATTGTGTTCTACCTGGGAGATGTGAATACAAACTATGTATTAAATCATATTAGGGAATCATCATTCATTTTATTAGGCAATTACGTAGAAAAAGGCCCTTAGTTTTTAGAGACGCTCTTACTACAATATTTAGAGTTGGGATGTCATAATGTCTGCAATTTATTTTAAACTATTTCAGCAGGAAAACAGATGAAGCAAATGTGGCAAAATGTTAATGACTGTTAAATTAGATGATGGGTATATGAGATTCATTATATTATTTTCTCTACTTTCCTGAACATCTGAAAAATTTTCACGGTAAAAAGTAAAAAAGAAAAACAAAGCTTTCCAGAAGCTCAAAATCAAAGTTCGATTGCAAGGATGACAAATGGTTTTGTAGCAAGCAGAATTCTAATATGGCCCAATGATTCCTGCCCCTGATGTACGTGCTGTGTATAATTTCCTTACGTAGAGTGTGGGCAAGGCTTGTGAATATGATGAGGTTTTACTTCATGATTAGGTTTCAGTATACGGCAAAGATTTAAAAATTTACACATGTAATTAAGGTCCCAGATAAGCTGATTTTGAACTAAACAAAAGGGAAGTTGCCCTGGGCGGGCCTGGCCTAATCAGACGATTCCTTTGAAGGCGAGATTACAGGCAGCAACAGACACTCTCTAGTTGGCCTTATGGAAGCAGAACTGCCACGTTGTGGAGAGGTCCCTGTGGCAGGGAATAATGGGTAGCCTTTAGGGAACAGTGGATGAGCCTTTGCTCATCCCTCAGTCCCAAAATCACAGGGAACTGAATTCTGCAAACAACCACTGAACTCAGAGGAAGACCTTGAGTTTCAGAAGAGACTGTGATCTTGGCTAACACCCTGACTGCAGCATTGGGAGACCCTGAGCAAAAGACCCAGCTAATTCATAACCAATCTCCTGACTCATGGAAACTAAGATAATAAATGTATGTTGTTTTCAGACAATAAGCTTGTGATAATTTGTTGTGAAGTAATAGAAAAAGCAAATTCACATTTCAACTGTTGTGGCAAGTCTAACTGATTACAAATAGCACCATTACATTGGAAAGGATTCTAAGACGGCATAGCCTCCTTGTGGGGGGGCGGGGGGTGGGGGGAGACATAGAGAAAGTTGCAGTTGATTAGCAATGTCTGCACGGGCATGAAAGGGCTGAGTTGTACCATGTGTATCTCTTATTGCCATTCAAGGCTGCTTGTTGTATTTAAGGAAAAAAGAGTTATTTTCTGTTTTTTTTTCTCAATGACAGAACAACTCCAAGGGGCAACAATGCTAGGGTCTCCTAGGGTCACCAGTTAGAGGGGATGCTAACCTGTGAGAAAGGCCTCAGAGAAAGAGGACCAAAAAGTTATCCAACACAGATCCTAGCAACTGATAAACAACGTCTAGGATGAGCCTTGCAGGCTGGTGTTTGCAGTGAAGGCTTTGCCATTGTTCCTTCCCTCTTCACTGTCTCCACTCTTTCTCCTTTCCATGGCCTCTAATTCTCTGCCTTCAGACATGCTAAAGGGTCTCATGATCTGGATCCTGCTGCTATTTCTAACTCACTCTGACCCTAATAGAGCAGGTCAGAATCCCTCCTTCCTCAGACACATAGGCTGAAGAAGTCAGAACTAGCTTGCTGAATGCTGAGCTTGGATTAAACACTCATTAACACATCATTGTTTCATATTAAATCCATGCAGACATCGTATCACAGTACCCAGATGTTAGTTTCATAATTTAAGTGAAGTCGGTACAGTGAAGCAGGCCGTTCTCCCAAGTTGTTGTTTTTAGAGGGAAGGTTTGATCCCTGGGTCAGTATGTAACAATGCAGATCAGACTCCATTCTTTTTCGGTGGCACATCCCACAGCAAAGATGTCCTAATCTAAGGGACCACAAAAACTGGAATTTAAAATCAAGGAGATGCAGATATAGTGGGAGAAGGAGAGAGTGGGACAAATAGAGAAAGTAGCATCAACATATATACACTACTGTGTGTAAAGTAGACAGCTGGTGAGAAGTTGCTATATAACATAGGGAGCCCAGTTTTGTGCTCTGTGATGACCTGGAAGGGTGATATGGAGAGAGGGAGGGAGGCTCAGGAGGGAGGTGATATATGTATAATTATGGCTGAATTGTGTTGTTTTATGGCAGAAACCAACACAACACTGTAAAGTGTTCCTGTCAATTAAGGAATAAATTTAAATAAATAAATAAAATCAAGGTAGGTGCAGCTGAAAGAAGCACATGAATAAGGTGAAGACTCTGAAAAAATTAGCTTTTTCAATTACATTAAAGAAAGATTTTGTGGGTGCGATTCCTTGTATTCAGGTGCCATTTGGAATCCAACCAGCCCAGCTTGCCCTCCTAAGCTAGTAGATGGTCTTTATTTATGTTCCTAAACCACTTATTCATCATAATTTAACAGTCTTTTCCAGGGGCTTTTAACACATAAGAAAGGGTCGCCAACATATAACTAGGCTTAAACACACGATGTGACGGGCCTTTAATGAGAACAACACCCAGCGCTTAAACCAGGGCTTGGTGGTCCACAGCGGTCACATTTTGCATTAGAGCATGCTCTTACCTTTATTTGCAATTTACAGAATTAACTCCCAATGTTTATACTTGAGAGTTTTCACTTAGAAAATAGTACTTTTCTTTTGCTTTTCTTGAAAAAAAAAAATGGGAAATCTGACAACCTGTCAGCACCCCCATTCCTCATGCAAGCAATCTGATGGCACTGAATGGTGGGTGCCCTCCTAGACGAGTGCTTTCCTGTGTACCACAGTCTCCACCGTGCCCTACTGCCTCCTCAGACTGAGGCCAAGTGGCCGTTATAATTTACCATCGAGGTTTCACTATTGTTTTTCCCACAGCAGAGATAAAAAGAGAATGAGCTATTTCTTATCACTATGACAATAGCCCTTTCATTCATTACCTTAGCAACCAGGCCCCTCTAACCATTTGAATTTGCTGACATCTGAGTTAAATACACCTTTCCAGCAACAGACATATAGCAATTTGTTACTTACTGATGGACAGTGGTTTTGACACATACATCCTCAGAATGCTTTCTGTTTCTCAGATTACTTCAATACTAAACTCTCCCTTTTGATTACCTCACACCAGTCAGAATGGCCACCATCAAAAAGTCTACAAACAATAAATGCTGGAGAGGAGAAAAGGGAACCCTCCCACACTATTGGTGGAAATGTAAACTGGTACAGTCACTACAGAAAACAGTACAGAGGCTTCTTGAAAAAACTAAAATAGAGCTACCACATGATCCAGCAATTCTAGTCTTGAGCATATATCCAGAAAGATGAAAACTTTAATTTGAAAACACACATGTACCCCAATGTTCATAGCAGCACTATTTACAACAACCAAGACATGGAAGCAGCCTAAATGCCCATCAACATATGAATGGAAAAGTAGATGTGGTACACACACAATATTATTCAGTCATAAAAAAATGAATAAAACGTTGTCCATGGATGGACACAGAGATTGTCACACTAAGTGAAGTAAGTCAGACAAAGAAAGACAAATATTATATGATATCACTTATATGTGCAATCTAAGAAAATAATACCTATCAACTTATTTACAAAAGAGAAACAGACTCAGAGATATGGAAAACAAATTTATGATTGCTAAAGGGGAGAAGGGAAGGAAAGGGATAAATTAGGAGTATGGGATTAATAAATACATACCACTATATATAAAATAAACAACAAGGACCAACTGTATAGCACAGGGAATTATATCCAATATCTTGTAATAACCTATGATGGAAAAGCATCTGAAGCTGTACCACTGAAACTAACACAATACTGTAAGTCATTAATAAATAATAAATCCATGAATTAAATTTAATATTGCTTTTGGTTAGAGTTCCTCTAACTCAAGGGAACTCTTAGTATGAGTTTGATCATTTAAGAAACATATGATCGGGTCCTTAAAGGAAATATGACTTGCTGATCCCCGAGTTCCATGCATTCTAATTACACCACTGATACCTGTTTGAGTCAGACATTGTGTTTTCCCCCTACTGTAAAAAACAAAAGTCCCGACCCACACAACCCCTTGATTAGTATTCATATTTGCATTTTCTATCAAGGTGAAGAAATATAGAAAAGAGGCCCTCGCTTGTTACTTGAAACAAAGCGTGTTCAGTTACCTCTCATTAGGACAGAGCTGCTAGAAGGACACAGGAACAGAGAGGAGTGGGTGAAAATTAAGAAAAGACCATTGGGAGAGGAGTCAGGGCATGAAGAGGAAGGTGCAGGGGGCTGCTCGGAGTCCATTAGCAGGAGGGGCCCAAAGGCGTGTCTTGAGGAAGGGGTGGAGGGGGATGGTAGGGAGGAGAGGGGAGCGGGCAGCATCCGGACACTCACGGTTGAGCTGCCGCCTCCGGATCCGGTCCCTCCATGGCCTGTTTCTGATCCAGTGCAGTCGTGATGGTAACACCATGGTCCCAAAGTGAGGGTCTAACACCTCCTCATGGCTGGAGAACAAAAGTGCTCGCAGCGATACAGGAAGTCAAGGCCAGACGTACAAAAAAAAATTTTTTTTTTTTGAGCCCTGTTCTTTTTTTAATATCCGAGGCTTCCGTTGACTTCTTTTATCTTGTAACTTGCCTTTTTTTCCCTTCTCTTAACTCCCGACTGGCCCGAAGGCAGCTGCTGCGCTGGGCTCCCCGGCTCCGGCCTCCTGTGCCATGTTTTATGCATGAAGATGATGGGCCGGTAATTTATTCGTGCTGAGATCGCAGGGCTCCTGTGTCTGCCCCACGTCAGAGGCTGGGGGAGGGCAGGTGTATCTGTCTGCAGGAAGAATGGCCTGAAATGGGGATCCCTCTCTGCAGGCGGGATTGAAGATCTGAGCTTGGCTGCCAGGACACGGGGCAGAGCGGCTGGAGCCCCAGTCAGGCAGTGGTGCTTTCCTTTTAGGGCACGTGATTTATTTGCTCCTGGGTCTTTAGTGCCTAGGCTAAAGTCTGGCACAGTTTGCGAACAATAAATACTTGTTGACTAAATGAAGGTTCAGTGGTAACCAACATCAGGACTTCACTGTGCCCACATGAATCCTTTATGCTCCTTGGCTTGCTACATTCACTATCCTCTAAACACTCATTTGAACTTTCTCATCCATCCCATTGCCCACACTTTTGTCTCCACCTGAGACCACACTCCCTCCTCACCCACCCATTCATGCTTCAAAATCTCATTTTCCTGGGAAGCTTTCCTGCACCCACACTGATGGGGCTAGCCCCCACACAGCTGTGCCTCTCCACTCAGCATGCCTGGAAAGCCCTTCTGTGTTAGGACTTTTGTTTGTTTGCTGGTTTGCCTTAAGGTGCATGTCCAAACAGCACATCAGCTTCTTGGTGGCAAAGCCTGTGTGTTCTTCTCCTGAGCCTGCAGTGGTCTGCATGGGAAATTGGTGCCACTGAGGCATGGCTGGGCAGCTTGAGCCTGCCTCCCCAAACCTCCACCAGCCCATCCTCAAGCCACACCAAATAAACACACAGTCTAACAAAATGCGTTGTATTGGCTATAATAACAGCCTCAATTTGTGAGCCCGGGGTGCTGCACCTGGCAGGGGAAGCGCTGTCTATGATTGATCGCTTACTCTGTTCAAGCTCCTCAGTGTGTGATGTCAGATCGCTCCAGACAGCAGTTATTGATCAAAGCCTCAGGAATAGTCTTGCTAGAAAGTCAGGGCTGGAAAAAGTGATATTCAAGTTACCAAATTTAGCCCAAGATAATCCATAAGCCTGCTGAAGTCAGAAACTCTGCCCTTTGTCCTTTCTGTCCCGCCTGGTGCCACTGAGGCAAAACTGCTGGAGGGGTGGGGGGGGGTGGGGGTGGGGGTCATGATCGCTACTAACCAGAGGTGTGCTTTAGTCCCTGTGCCTTGTTTCCTTCATCTTAAAATAGAAATAACCTGCATACTCCATGGGGTTGTCAAGATGAAATGAGATGAAGGTAAGCTAACTCTAGGGGTGGGTAGACTATGGGACTGCTCCTTGTCCAACAAGCACTACGCCTGGTGGTGAAGGGAATACGTTCCAGAGCCACACTGCCTGCTTAGTAGCTTTAACCTCACTGTACCTCAGCTTCTTCATCTGTAAATTGGGGCTAAAAAGAACTGCTGCCTTAGGGTCATGCTGACGATTTAGTGAATTAATACAAGCAAAGAGCTTTAGGTTTAGCTTCGAGGAATTGCTCCATGTCATGGCAGGCTATTGGTCATTAGCCATACAAGTTTGTGAAAGTTAGCAAATTCCCTGGGTCTCTGTTGCCTTACCTGCAAAAGGAGGTGGTCTCGGATACATTCTGTCAGGAGTTCTGGGTTTAATTTCCTATTGCTGCTATAACTAATTGTTGTTGTTTAGTTCCTAAGTCATGTTCTACTTTTTTGTGACCCCATAGACTCTAGCCCATGAGGCTCCTCTGTCCATGGAATTCTCCAGGCAAGAATATTGGAGTGGGTTGCCATTTCCTTCTCCAGGGGATCTTCCCAACGCAGGAACTGAACCCACATATCCTGCATCGGCAAGCGGATTCTTTACCACCGAGCCACCTGGGAAGCCTCACTAAAACTATCACATGTTTCTTGGCATAAAACAACACAAATTCGTTTTCTTGTAGTCCTCAAGGTTGAAGTCTGAAAGGAGTCTAATAGGACTAAGATTGAGATTTCCACAAGATTGCATATCTTCTTGGGGCTCTAGGAGAGGACAGTTTCTTTGCCTTGTCCAGCTTCTAGGAGATTCCTTGAGTCCATTTCTAGGTTATCTTTCTTAGTGTGAGGGACCACGACCTAAACCTTTCTACCAAATGTAGTGACTTGGCAATTGTGGATCACGCTGAGCTTTGCCAATCCAGACAAATCGCCGCTGGACCTGAGTCCTCACCGATTTGTCTATATCCTAAGCTTCACTTTCTGAAGCAGGGGGAAGGCAGACACCAAGATGAGGACCAAGGCTGTGGAAGTTTTATTGACTCTTGCCAACTGGACATAATTCCCTAGAGTGACCCACCCAGCACAAGAGAGCCGTTTGTTTGAGAGACCTAGGATGGCTATTCTAACAGTTCTGTTTGGTCTTGACTTGTACAACTGCCAATTGCAACACAATTTTCTGCTCTTCACGTCACTTACCATAAATCAAATCAGGTAGCTGCCAGCTAGGCAAATTAGAGATGAGGGGAAACTCAGGGAGGCTGTTAGGGTGCAGTGGTCACACTCCCTTCTGTCACTGTCTTTCACCATGTGGCTCCTGCATGTCTGTGTCCACAATGAGCTTGAATGTGGAGAATGTGATACAAAATGAAGCGCCCCCCACCCTTTCTTTTTGCAATCACAATTAGATCTTTCCTCCTCATTAGTCCACACATTTCCCAAACTTCTGCTGCATGAGTCAATGCTTTTCCAATGTACATAATTTACAACAGCAGATGAGGGGAACAGTGGACCAGAGAGGGCGGAAAGTACAGTCAGGTCTAAGATGAGAGGCAGCTGAAAACTTTGCATTTCCTCATCTCTAGTGAACTGAAATACAAATTTTGCCAGTTTACTCTTTACCATCATGGTGAGACTTGGAGGTGAGGTGAAACTGGAAATGGAAGCCTCGCCTCCATCTCTTGTTATCATTCTTTCTGGTCAGGCTGGCAATGTTGCAGACCCCTGGCTCACACCATATGGTTCCCTTCCCTGACTCTTCGAGCTTTATCTGTTCTTTTATCAAGTACACACTCATAAATGTCAGGGAGTAAATGGTCTGTGGAGTGTTATTCTCCCAAGTGACATTTGCATTTGTGTGAAGTGTAGAATATCAATTTTTACTCTTCTCTGGGGTTTGGTGCTATTAGCTTTTCATAAGTTACAGAATTTCATGGCAGAATCAGAGTCTTAGAAGAGCAATATGTTAAAAAGAATATGGAGAAAAGCATAATTATGTGATCCTTGCTGCTACCTTTTTCAACTCATTTTCAATAAATGGGAGCTAAGTGTTATGTTCAGGAGAAAGAGCACCAGCATTTCTAGTTCTACATTAAAACTGTCCTGGGGAGAAACAGACCTACAATTACTCAGTGGAGAATGGAAATTGCTAAGCCAAGGCATATTGTGCTCCTTTTAAAGAAAGCCATTAAGGAAAACTTGGTATTATTTTAAAATAAAAGCTTATTAAACACCAGGAGGAAATGACAGCACAGCACCTGATTTATTTCTCTCCTGTCACAAATATACCCCAAAGGGAAATAGGGTTTTGTGTTTTATTTTTTGGAAACTGGAAAGCGATTGAGAGCCGAGTTCTAGTTATGGCTATCGGGCTGTTTATCTATCTGCACTGACTGAGTACTTACCAAGAAACAGGCTTTGGGTTGCATACTTTAAGTGGCTGTTATTTTATTTAATTCCCCCTATATTCTTATTAATGAGTAGTTTTACTAATCCCATGTTATAGATAAATGAATGAAGGCTAAAGAGTAGTTACTATAAATAGCAATTATCTGATACAGTATTTTACAGATATTAATTTCAGATCACTGTCACCATAATCCTGTACCCATTTCACAGATGGTGAAACTGGGCAGAGAGAAGTTTAATAATTTGCAGGGCTCACACAGCAGCAGGTGACTGAGATGAGATTTGAATTCAGGTAGCCTGGCTCTGTGCCTAATCACAAGCTATATTAACTCAAATTAAGCAATTTTTTAAAAATGCAGTGTAACTATACACTATGCTCTACATATTCAGTGCTTCTTAAATTTGGCAATACCATTCTGTGTTTGAAAGATGTCCCATGTAGCCTTGGCAAAGGCAATTCCTGAATGATAATCAATTAGAACATCTGACAGCTATTAGAGAATTGTTCTAGACAACCTCACATTCAAAAGCCTCACTTCAGAGACAATGAAACCGAGGCTCAGAGAGGACTGGGGACACATCCAAGTTTGCACAGCAGGTTGGTGGATTTGGGCCAAGTCTTAACGCACCTCACCCCCAATCTCAGCTCAGTGTTCTTTCCACTGCTGCTGAGGTCAGATTTTACAGGAGTTTTTAGAGCTAGGACATTTTTGGAGGCTGGTTTTGGTGGAGAAGAGACAGACCAATTGTGAGTTGAATGATGAAAGAGCACGCTGTGCCTGCATTCTATCTGCTCTCTTGCTGGCAGACACAGCCCATCCCTTCCCCTCTCCCTGCCCACCTTCCTCGCTCTAAAACTACTTCTCTGCAGCACTTCCTGTCTCAGCGAGCAGCCCCACCTTCCAGCCATTGCCCCCATCAGAGGCGCAGGTGATCCTCCTAGTGTCCTAAGCCTCCTGCCCACATTCAAACCAACAGCTGATCCGAGGGAATCCACCTCCTTGTCCCCTCCCAGATCTTTCCTCTAGCTGTGCTCACAGCCACCGTCCTGGCCCAGACCATCATCCTGTCACATAAGCTAGCTTGACACCCCCTCA